CTAATTAGATTTCATAATACAGTCAATGATGGTTTTACATCTCCAGTCACACTCATCTCTAGCTCAAGTTGGCATGCTCTTTAGATTGTTTGAAAGTTGCCTTCAGCTTTTGTCTGGATAGAGAAGCAAGCACCCAGAGCACTCCTGCAGACACTCTGAGGTTATGACGGCCCCTTCCCCTTTCTGCCCCTTTCTGACAGCTTTTCTCCCCTTCTCCTGGAGGTCTGCATTATTTTAATAAGAACAAGAGATAGAAAACTGGCTTCCTTCAGGGTGGATTTGCCTGCATCTCAAATTCCTACTGACTGACAAGGGAAACTTTTCCCTTTGCAAAGGCAAACTTTCTTCTGCAGGGAAGATGCCAGGGCTCCTCCTGTGCCCAAAAGCATCACTTAGAGGCCCAGCCAGCATGCTAGAAAAAGCCAGAGCCTTGAGGGGATTTCCTGGGGGCCAAGTAGGCCCAAAGGACCCAGGATCAGACAGGAAGCAGGAGAGTACAACCGTACAACCCGTTTGGGCACTGCAGAAGAGGAAAAGGCCTGAGAGGCTGCCCCCTGTGCCACTCTGGGAACATGTGTCTCAGCATCTTTTCAGAAAGACATCCTTTGGCCAGGCCAAGCCTGGTGGTGCCCAGCAGCTACACAGAATTGTCACTTCGAATTGCACCCAGGACTTGGCCTTTCAAGGAGGGAAAGGCTGAGTTTGCCTTGGCATGTCCCAACCTCTCTGGGTCCTAGCTCTGCACCGGGGCACAGGAAAGGACAGGGCTCCTTCCTACCTGAGGTGAACAGGACTATGGCCTTGAGGCAGCTGTACTCGGCAGAGTCGACATGCAGTGCTTTGAGCTTCTCCACTTGCTCCTGGAAGATCCGTATGTGGTCCATAAAAGCGACCACCCGGTCGGCGGACATGGGCGAAGCATGCAGGCCAGCAGCGGCCAGCAGTGGGGCAACGTGGAGGGGCATGGAGCACTGCGCTGCATTCAACACGAACAGCTCGCTCCAGGTGAGGCGAAGCAGGGCCACCTGGTCCGTGATCTGCAGGTCAGGGAAGAAAGGGATGTTCCGGGCCCACTCGACGGCGCTGAAGAGCATCCGTGCGGCCAGTTCGCAAATGTTCTCGATGCCCATGATGTTGTTGGGCTGCATGCACTGGCTGCCGAAGCGGGACGTAGGATAGGGCTCGGCGCGCAGCAGGAGGGAAATATATCCGGACAGGTAGGAGTGGCAGTTGAGAGGGTCCCCGTTGGTCAAGGCGAACTGCCCGTGGGTCGGCTGGGTGGGTGGCATCCTGCCCCTCTGCACCGCTGGGGAAGAAAAAGAGACACTCAACAGTTAATGCTTAGCCTTGATCCCCAGGTCCCCCGCGGGGTCTGCCCTAGCCCGACTCCCACCTGCCCTAGGCCCTGAGCCACACCAAAGCCAGGCAGGCCCTCCATAGTCCTGGAAGTCATCGGTTGCCCGGCCGCCACCACTCCTCTGAAATCACCACCCAGGCAGGCTCGAATGGCCAGGCCAGTACACTTGCCTCCGAGGCCCGCTCGGGCTGGTCGGCCAAGGACCCAGAATTGGCCGCTTTGCCTGGGGGGTCCCCGGAGCTGTGGGCGGGATGTAGCATTCTGGGGGCATCTTTCTTCTTTACTGCTAAACAGCTGATATTTCTTATTGATTGGAGGAGAGGGAGCGGGAGGGGCGAGTCTAGGAGGAGGGTGAGACGCTTTTGCAAGACACAAGGGTTTACCCCAGACGGCCTGTAGCCACCCCGCAACTACACTCCCCCAAACCCCTCAGCCCCAACCCCAGCCCTAACCCGGCCAGGAGCCCCCACCCCCACCCCCACGGCGAGAGGCGAGGAAAGAGTCGAGGTCTGGCGTCTGCCTAATCAGTGAGCTTGGAGAGAGACGCAGGGAGAGGGCGGAGAGAGAGAGGCCGGCTAAGGCGAAAGGCAGCCGGGGAGAGGCAGGGAGCAGGCGCCGGACGCCGGGACATCCGGGCCAAGGCCCTGAAGGGCCGGGGAAAGCCGGCTAGGCTCGGGCTGGCGCTGTTATCTGACTCTGGACCGGGAGAGTCGCTCTCCCAGGAACACAAAGAAACCCCGGCGTTGGCTCGCCCCAAGCCGGAGCCCGCGCCCCGCGCGCAGCGCGCCATTGGCAGAGCACGGCTCGCAGCGCTGGGCGAATTTTATATCACAAAGACCCAACTCGCGCAGAGCGAAAGCCGCAGCCCAGGCCCCTCGCCCACCCTCTCCTGCTCCCTATAGCGCTCTCCGGGTTTCAAAAGTGAAAGGAAAAAAAAAAAAAAAAACCCAGAGATATTTCTTTTAGCAGAATGTTAATCCACGGAGGGTCACATGAGCGCTGCCCGGGCGGCAGCGTTAATACGGCGAAGTGCATAAAATTGCCATTTGTAATTTGAACCCCCGTACAAAAGTACAATCTCAGGTTGGTTTTTTTTTTTTGAGGGGGTGGGGGCTGGGGAGAGGAGTGGGGAGGAGGGACATATGTTGAACATGCAGGAAAAACAAGAGGAGAGAGAGAGCCAGCGAGCAAGAGAAGCTTTAAAACAACACCCCATCCCTTGAAGAAGGGTGAACTCGAATGAACTCTAGGTCAATGCAGAGAAAATGAAAACAGCTCGCAGAGAAAGGAAATCAGTCCGCCAAAGCATGCGGATTTGGAGGTCTGGGTTCAGGGCAGAACTCCTGCTAGCAGAAAACCCCTTTCGGCTGCATTGCGAAGAGCAGAGCTGGGGCTGCTTCTCCTTACCCAGAGCAGGCTAGTCAAACGCACCCAGGGCCCCGGGACCCCAGGCGAAGGAGGGAGAAATGAGAGGCCGATACCTTCCCGTCTCATGCCCACTTTGAGGCACTTTTTGAGGCGGCAGTACTGGCACTGGTTGCGGTGGTGCTGGTCGATGGGACAGTTCCGGTTGGCGCGGCACGTGTAGCTCAGGTTCCTCCGCACGCTGCGCTTGAAGAAGCTCTTGCAACCCTCGCACGTGAACTGGCCGTAGTGCTTGCCGCTCGACTTGTCCCCGCACACCACGCACTCAATGTGCTGCTGTTGTTGCTGTTTGTCGCCGCCCGGGCCACCAGGTCCGCCCTGGCCGCCAGCCGCTGTCTGGGCCGGCGTGCTGGCCGGGCCCCCTTGGCCCGGCGTTTGTGGCGTGTGCGGGGCGCCAGGCGGCGGGCCGGGCACGGGCGGCGCCTGCGAGGCCTGGCTGCCCTGAGAGCCGGGCACCTCGTCCTGGGGGTCGCGCCACGTGCTGACTACCATTGCCATATCTATGGGGGCCGCGTCCGGACTTCCTGCTCCCCTGGCTGCGGGCGGCGGCGGGGCGGCGGCGGCTCCCGGGTCTCGGGCTCCGGTGCGCCGCCTTTTGTGTGTGCTAGGGTGCGAGAGGGCGCGGGAGGGCGCCCCGGGTGGCTCAGGGCTAGTTGATTGAGGTTGGTTAGTTTTTCCTTTTTTGTTTTTGCTTTTGCAAAGTTTTGTCGAAGGCTTGTCTGGCCCGGTGTGTTTGTTTTGTTTGTTTCCCTCGGCTCAGCTTTGTTGGTTTCGGGGGGCTTTCCGTCGGGAGGGGAGGGGAAGGGGCTAGGGGAGAGAGAGCGAGTGGGAGCAGAACGTGGGGAGAGAGACAGAGAAAGGGAGGGGAGGGAGCGCTGCAAGTCGATTGTCTGGCTTCAAGACAGAAGTAGGAGGCAAAAAAAAAAAAAAAAATCTCCAAAGATCTCGCTCGTTCTCACTCCCTCCCTCCCTCTCCTTCACTCTCTCGCTCTCAGATCTGGTGTGCAGCCGAGGAGTTGAAAGAGGAGGAGGAGAAGGAGGAGGAGGAGGAGGAAGAGGAGAAGGAGGAGGAAGAGGAGGAGGAGGAGGACGAGGAGGAGGAGGAGGAGGAGGAGAGGCGACTGTCCGGGGGCCAAGTCCAGGGCAGCCCACAGTCAGCCATTCAGGAAAGCCATCGAAATCTGGAGGACTAGGAATGCCGAGGCGCCGGGCGCGGGCGCACCCAGGGAGCCAGGCAGGCCGGGGCGGAGGCCGGCGGCCCGCGGAATGGCCGGAGCGCTGCCCGAGTCCGGGGGAATCAGCATGAAAGTGGTCCGCGTCCGGCGCTGCGCGGCGTCGTCCTGGCTCTGGGCCGCCGCCGCCGCCGCCTGCCCCGGGCGCCCGGCGCGCACCGCGCTCGCCCGCTCGCTCGCTCGCTCCGGCTGCCGCCGCCCGCGCCGCTCCGCTCCGCTCGGTGGAGGCCGCTCGCCGCTCCCCGCGGGCCGCCTGGGCCGCCGCCGCCGGAGCCGCCGCTGAAGCCGCCGGGTTGGGCCCGGAGCCGCCGCGTCTAGCGCCGCCGCCGCCGGTGAAGTCGCTGCTGTCGCCGCCGGAGCCGCTGCTTCTGCTGCTGCCGCCGCCGCCTCACACACATAGGGAAAGAGTCAACTCGCCGGCGGCGGGGGAGAAATGATAAAAGAGAGAAAGGAGGGCAGATCACCACCTAGAAGCACATCCTCCGTGAGCAGAGGGGGGAGAGAAAGATGGAGAGGAAGAATGAAAGAGGGGGAAAAAGGCAGCACAGCACCCGGAGAAAGGAGGCAACTCGGGGAGAGGAGGAGGAGGAGAAGAAAACACACACGCGCGCACGCACACACACACCGCGGAGAGAAAAGAACAGAGAATCAAAGTGATCAAATATGCTAAAAAGGGGGGCGCGGGAGGGAATGCGATTTATAGGCGCCAGGGCTGGCAGAAGTGGCTTCTCCGCGATCAGCTCACTGAGCTCTCTATATAGTGAACTTTGACACCACTGCTGCAACTTAGCGCACGTTGCCATGGCGACGGCGCGCCTTATAAGGCAGCAGCCGGGGTTGGCCTGGCCAGGCGCGCGCGCGCCGCCCCCTCGTCGTCATTGGCCGGAGCGCGGCGGCCCCGCCATGGCGACCGCGGGCGCAGCCCGGTCCTAGCGCGAGCGGCGTTGTGATCGCCGCGCGGGGCGCGCGGGAGGGGGGGGGGACCAAGGGGGGCGGGGACCGCTTGGCCCGCGCCGCCCTGGCCGCCGAGCGGGGGATGGGCCCGCGCCGGCTCCGGGAGCGCGACCCCCGGGTTCTCCCCGCGCCCTGCACCCGAGGTTTCCGCCCTGGCGGGGAGACGAGCGCGGCGCGCACACACACACAACGCCTCTTAAAGGCTCCGCCGGAGGCTCGGAGGGAATCGAGGACTGCGCCTCTCGCAACTTGGCGGTGCCTCGAAACCCGCCGCTCGCGCACCGCCGGGGACTCCCGGCGCGTCCCGGTGCCCACAAAGCCAAAGAAAGAGAAAAGTTCCCCGGTTTCTTTGCAGAGGGGTAGGGGCTGGAAGTGGGAAGGTGCCTCGAACTGAGCTTTCAGGCATTTTCCAAGCGAAAGATTTGGCCAAATCCGGGTGATGGGAAACCCTTCTCTTAATCAATTTTGAACACTTGCTCAGTTTGGGAGGTCGTTTCTTATTTGTTTATTTATTTTATGTTGAAAAGAGCCGCTCGGTGCCTATCTTTTCCTTGTAGGGTTAACATTTCATAGGTTTGTGGCCTGACATTTTAATTGCTCAAATAAAGTATCTCGGATGCTGAGAAGCAGAAGTAGACTTCATCTCATTGTCATGACGCAATTAAAATAAATTTTCCTCAACTTTATCCTCTCTCGTTGGTTTTAGCTCACTTGCAACCCAACATCCTGCCACACACCGAGTCCTGGTAAGAGGGAAAAGACCCTTCTGCCCGCTGATGGACAGGTGAAGGCATCCGCTCAGTCTCCTCGTCCACACCCTCTGTACAGACATGTAGGCACACATGTATCAGATGCACATTTGTCTATGTTCGCAGACAAAGACTTCTGAGACTGTGCTTCTAGGTCATAGAACAGTTGAGGACAGATTTCATTGCCTTGAAGTTCCTTTTAAGCATTCATACAGTCATGAAAACACACCCAGAGATTCGGCCCCAAAATGGAAATAATACCTGCACAACTCACAAAAACACACACAGCCATATTCATGCTGGAGAGTCACTGCAAAAAGCACAACTTCATAGCTTAGACCATTCTTTTCAGTATGCCAACATCATTGATATGGTTGTGTCTTTGAATTACAGGGTGCTTGATTTAAACATCAAACAAGTAGAATTGCTCCCTACACACACACATATACTATATTCCACTGCAGTAACCTTGCTGTTTGATTATAACCAGTTAGTGCATTATGATTAGTCCACGTTTAGACAAGAGAATCGTGTTTCGATCAAGGACACTTTACACCAAGAAAAATTGTAAACCCATAAGCCAACAAGGTTCATGAACAATTGTAATATTTTACACAAAAGACACCGAACTCCACAGGAAAAATAGGAACATTGTAAGAAGTAAATTGATGACTTCAGAAAATTATACTTAGCAGTTCAAAAACATTGATGAGATGAAGGTGTTTAAAAATAAACCACACATATAATTGACATGTGCAGCTTGCAGTCTGCATTCAATGTCTTTTTACACAGATAGAATACGAAGTAAGGAATAAGTAGGCAGATAGGGGCTGGTTTTTAGGGAAAGAAAAGAATTCTCTGTAAATTTCATCCCTGGAGCCCTCCTAACCCTCTTATTCTCCACCGAAATCACATATTTCATTAAAGCTGCAGGTGCTGGAGTTATTTGAGTGTTTTAAGAAATAACAACCTATAATAGGCACTGACTTGTCATAAACCTGACTTGCTATAAGGTTGTCACAGAGTGAAGCCAGGCTGAGAATTTCAAGTTGATTACAGACACAATATAACTTTTTCCTAAAGAGAACAAGAAGGATGGAAAAGAAATCATTTCAAAGAGGGTTTTGGTTTTTTTCTCCCCCTTTCAACTTCTGGGATTCCAGGACTTGCCTTATGCTGTAAATGTCAGAAGATTAGAGACAAGTTTAGCAATACTGAGACGGGGGTTCAGATAGGAAATCTAAAGGGTATCCTCATCTCAATTTAATAGAAGGTGAGAATGACTGATTATAGGGAAAACTTAATCTTGCCTCTGGAGTGCAGAGACGTCCGTGGTAAACATTTTTTGCACACTCGTGAAGAAATGATTTCGATGATGAAGAAGAGCTTCACTTTTTAAATTATTTAGGGATGGTTGGAATTTCAAGGCCACAGATTTGAATTTAAAGGCCATGGAACTATTTGCCAGCTATCTCTCCTATAGAGTTGAAGCCTGCCAGGCACAAGATCACAGGGCTGCCATGAAGTTAGAAGCATTTCACTATGTTTTAGGGTCCATTCACTTATGGAAATGCTGCTTAGGAGAGGTAAATATCACTGTGAAAATGAAGTCAATTTTATTGCATGGAAGCAGAGACAGGACAACTAGGCAGAAGAAAAATAAAAGGCAAAATATTTTTAAATGTCTTCTTCAGATATGGTTATTTGCTTTAACTTTAAGCAGGCTCTCAGACTACAAGATAAATACCACTATACATATGATTATTGTTTTTCTTTTAAATCCAACACAGTCTTTTATTGCAGATGTAAATTTATTCTAATGAGAGGAATGGCAAGCTTTAATTTGGCTAGTGAAAGTTGGAAAAATATTTGTCTTAATCTTTAAAAAATCAACCAGGGATATGATTTTCTTGCAAAAAGTAGCCGGATGGTCTGTGTTCTTTACAGATTAAATCACAATAAGAATACAGACCCCAGCACATGCCGAGTTTAACTCTGAACTCAGTAGAAACCAGTTCCGTCCACCAGGATTCATTGAATTCCTCCTTTCCCTCAATCTAGTCCGTGTGTGTTTTTCTCTTCCACCACGCTGGAGCTCCATGAATGGGAAAAGGGGCTTCTATTGTGGCCCTCTGAACTTCCAAGTCAATGCAATTTTTAACCACTGGCTTGTGGTACTTTGAAAATCACCAGGGGCTGTCAGAGTTGGGTCCTCTGAAAAATTTACAGTGCTAAATCAGAGCATATGCCGGGAGGGAAAAAATTGCTTAAGATTGGAGCAAGTACAGTATCCGTCTGCCCCCTAGTGTAAGAGTCCTCGCTGCCTAAAATTCAACTTTAAAAGAAAAGGAGCTCTTAAAGGGAAACGACTTTGGGCTCACGTAGACATAGGAGAATGAAACTTCTGTACATTTTAATCTGAATAATTCTTCAGGATTTAAAATTAATTGGCTCTGGCTTGGTTGGACTGTACTCGGATCTCGCCGCCTCTGCGCTGCCCGAGTCACTGGTGAAGAGGTGATGATTTTTTTTTTTTTTTGAACTGGGTTTATGTGCGTCCCTCTCACCCCCTCCTCTCTTTTTCTTTCTCTCTGTCTCTGTCGTCTCTCTCGCTGGCTTTTTAAAAATGAGGAACCCGTTCCTTGAACGTTTTGGACGGAGCACAGAATTGCTTCTTAAAGTCAGTCCGGCGCGGTTGCAATAGACAGCAAAAAGGTTGCCTGAAACCCGCACGCCAGCTCCACCACCCTGCCCGACGGTGAGTACCCTTCTCGTTGCGATTCTCCTCCTAGCTTAGCCGAGCGCTCCCTTCCCGAAACCGCGGCCGAGGGCGCCGGGCAAGGCTTGCCTCCCTGCCTGCCTGGCTGGCTGTCAGTTGCACAAGGTTGCAAAATGAAGCGCAGAGGCAAATCGAACAGTAAATTCTGATACTCAGCTTGAGCCTAGCAGCTCCTCCGCTAGAAAACCGAGTCCTCTGCTGCTAGCAAGACCAGGCTTACAGGGCTGGTTTGCAGTTTGCTCTTATAGAAGGAAATGAGTTTGAGGAGACAGGACGAGGCGATGGGAGGCACCGCAGCCTTTATGCTTCGGTTTAATCATATTTTGGCAGCATTGCAATTGCATTTCCCCCCCTCCTCTTCCCTCTACCACCTCTCCCACCGCACACATGTAATAAAATATGGCAATGCACCGAATTGACGCTGTTTCCCCTTCCCCAAGCCCCTTCAACCACAGTCCTAGGCATTTCATACATATTAGCAAACCATCATCTGCAAAGCCCCAAGTCATCCCCAACCCCACACAGCACAAGGAGAAAAGTGAGACAGGAGAGAAAGAAGCAAAAAAAATACTGTAAGTAAACATACCAAAACCATATTTTCCTTGTTCAAGATCCCAAACCGCTTGCATCTTCCTTCTAAACTGGAATAACTCTCCTTTAGTTTGGCGGGTGAAATAAACGCTTTGTTGGCCCCCTGAAAAGATGTGTCTTTGATAATTAAAGAGAATCTCCTCCTCGGTGTTTATCTAAGCGATTGTGCAAACTGATAAAAAGTAGGCACTAGCCTGCAGGGAAAAAGAGGAAAGGTGAAGGCAGAGACCGTCCACCTCCAGGAAGTGCTTCCCCATGTATTAGGCGTTCGCTCTCAGCCCAGGAAAGCCCTGCACACTAACTTTAGAGACACAAGGTTTCAGGGAGCTTTGTACATAGCTGCTGAGGAATGCAAGCCTCGCCTTTAAGAAAAAAACCCCAAACCTAGGTAGGAGATGTCTGGAGTGATCCTTGTCTCTCATCTCATTCCTTAGAAGGAAGAGTGTGTTGTTACACCTTGTTTGGGGCTGGAAAGACGAGACTTTAAAAACACCCGTCCAATTGAAAAAAATCTCCCAACTTAATGAGTTTAGGCAGAGGCTGCAGCCCTCGGCTCAGAATGAGCAGAAAACCGCCAACTCCAGCCGATGCTGCAAAGCAGGATGACTAGAGGCACAGCCAAATTCCACTGTTTGGGGTCGAGAGGGATGGAGGCTAATCCTAAAGCAAGTTGGGAAATAACAGAGGTGGGAAAGGGGGGGAAAAGCAGCCGCCTTGCAGGCTGGCAGACAAGCTCCTCTTACCCTGGATCAAAGATAGGACTTGAAACAGGAAGGCAACATTTCGCCTAAGAATCTGCTGGAACCCTCATTTTCTACTTTTAACTCCAGTCCCCCAAGTGATTTTCCCCTCTCCCCTGTGCATTCTGCCTCCCTCCCCTTGATGGTGCCCGTTCTAGAACTTTCCTGAACAGGAAATCTATTTCTTTTGGGGGAGGGGTTCCCCATTTCATGCCTTCCTAGCCTGAATGTTCAATCCACCCCTCCCTCTATCACTCCCCCTAAAAAGAGTAAAGGAAGCAGAAATCCAACGACCAGCAAATATTGAAAATAAATTACGCCGCCTCTCCCAGTTTAATGCAGTTTTAACTAATGGATTTTTTGTTTTGTTTTAAGAGAAGAATAATGGGGAAACACGGATCTTTTATTTTAGGAAACTGTTATGGTAAGATGTATGTCAGAGTTGACAAATGGAACTAACACTCTTCGGCTGCTTCTTGTCCTTGTCTTAAACAGGAATTAAGTTAAACACAGTGCTGAATGTTAATTACATGTTTACTGGCTAATGAAAATTACAAATGGTTTTGCCACCTCAAACAATGATGAAAACTCTGAAGACACTGTAATTATATACTTTGAGGGAAATAACTCAGAATATTGATCATAAGAAGTGTAAATCTTTTTTAAACTATTCATTAATACCATAAATATGGGCTACAGAAGTTTTTCCTTGTGGTTTGCCTCCTCAGTGATACTGAGTGGATGGATGGTGAGTTTCCTCTGGGGAGGTGGTGAACTCGTTCTGTTAGAAGAAGGAGGCCACTTGTGTAACTCAGAGGTGCCCTCTCCCTTTTGCCCTGCCCCCTTCAACCTGAGCTGAAGGTCGAGGGCTCCTGGACCAGGCAGGCCAGGCTGAGGGCAGGCGAAGGTGATCACAGTGTGGCCTCCCGCCTGCCTGTCCTCTTCTCTTTTCTTCCCTGTTTTTGCCAGGTCTGATCCATGATTCCTTGCCCAGCCTGGGCGTCAGTGGCATAACCTGGCATTCGGGATTCCTAAAAGAGGACCCACTATACCCAGAAACCTAAGAAACCCAGACATGCTTCCCCAATGCCTTAAATTCACCCCATCTAGTCAGAGATGGCTAGAGCAATTCCTTGCAAAAGAGGAAGGGGGAAAAGTTGGGGATGGAGGTGGCTGTGGAGTAAGGTGGCTGGGGCAGCTGCACAGCTGTTTTCCTTGGATTTAGGAGCGATTTTGTTGTTTTCTTTTAACTTTGGCCAAAGTTGTAGTCCTAGAAGTCACTCCAGACTTGGGGTCAGAGGTGAGGGCTGCGCTAACCCTAAAGGCTGGCCCCAGCTGGCCGAAAGGCCAAGCAAGCAGGGAATGGGGGGTTGCCAGCCAGGCTGCCTGGCTTTTCAGAGGGGGCACTTGTGAAACTCGCATTTGGGGGGCACAGCACCAGTGCAGGTTTAAAGTAGAATATTGAGGATTTCTTTTAAAGTGCCCTAGGCTTGTGGGACCGAGTCCTCTTCTTCCCTGAAAATTCCCAAGGCGCTGGTCTTTGTCTTAGAAGGAATGGAGTTTCTGAATGGTGTGAAAGGGACAGAGAGGGTCGCTTCAAATCGATTTTACTTGTCCTTTCTGTCTTTTCGGATCAACGCCCTTCAATGGGCACAGAGGTGCTCTTTCAACCAAAAACTTGTGCTACATTTTCTGCCTGTATTGGTGCTAAATACAATAAGCACTGGGCAGATTTTTTTCTTTGCTCTCCAAACCAAGAAAGCACCCTAATTAAATTGTTTTATATGGACAGTCAAGACGGACCAATTAAGTATGCATTAGTATAAAGATATAGTCTGCAGATAAGGTGATTTAGAAAATCACATGTGGGACAAAGGGCACCAGCGTTTGGGAAGGGTGCCTGGACCCGGCAAGGTCGAGCACTTTGCTTAGTGGGCCACAGGGGAATGGTAAAGGCCGAGGGTACAGGTGAGCAAGACACAGGTCGGCTAACAGGTGGGCACCGGTGCGGGGGACCTCTGGCCCTGCACCCCTGGCCGGAGAGCAGTGAAGCCTGCGGGCTCCGTGCTACTCAGTTGTACTCCCGCAAAGTAGCATCCCGAGGTGGCACTTCTCACAGGACGAGGTGCTACTGTGAGACGCCCCACTCGGGAACGAGTCCCCTTCCTGACTTGCCAGGCCCAGGGGACCAGCCCTGTGATCTTGAAATAGTATGCGCCCATCTAGGGAGGTCGAGTGGGCCCCAGGAGCGCGGGCATCTCTGCCGAAGCCTTCTGGCAGGCAGGATCAGGGCAGAGGCCTGGCTCTCCACACCTCCAGCCTAAGCGTCTTTTTGCTTCAAAGGAAAGACAAGCGTCTCTCCTGGAGCAAAGTAAAGTTCCCACCCTAGCCCTCCGGCCCAAGGGGCTTCGAGGACCAGACGCAGCAGTAGGGCAGAGGCCGAGGGTCTCAGAAAGGGTAGCGGAGACAGCAGCCACTCCTTGCGCAAAGGCAGCTGGGGCTCCTCCACCCCCTCGCCGCCCTGGAGGTGTGGGCGGGCGGAGAGCATCCTGCCTGAAGGAGGCGACCGGGGCACAGGGGCTGGGGCCTCCCTGCGTGGCGGCGCAGTGCTGTGATAGGTGGTCCCCGGCCGCGGGGGGCGCGGGCCAGGCGCGCAGCCTGGGGAAGGGCTCTCGGGGCGCCCTCTGCAAGGAGGAGGGCTGGGGGGAGGGGGTGAGAATTGGAGCCTGGGGAGGTGGCTGAATGTCAAAAGTAAAAAGGTTGGGAAGCCAATTTTCCAGGCGCGCGCTGCACCCCCCAGCCTGGTGGATGCCCAGGCCGTAAATCAGCGGCCAGCGGCGAGAGCGGGAGGAGCCCCCTGTGCGGGCGGGCGGGCGCGCCCCGCCTGGGCACTGCGCACCTCCCGGTGGGCCCCGAATCGATCCACAGCCTAGCTGAGGATGTCACCGCACTAAATATTTACTGATCACACACAAATAGCCGGGGCTTGAACGATTTTCCTCTGTGAGGCAAGCGCGGAGAGCAGGGTAAATCATTTTATTAGTGTGGATAAAGCCCAGAGCACACTCCGGGCCGGAGTGTTTTAAGATGTGTCTTCAACGGGATGAAAAGAGTTAGGGAAATCGATAGGGAGTGATTAGAAGCCCCCGGAGTGACAAAGAGGGGACCGGGCTGTGCCGAGTGGGAGGGGAACTAGCCTCGAGGGGAGCTGCTGACCACCGCCGGGGCTCCCCCGAGGTGCAGGCCTGGTCCCCTCTCTCCTCGACGGGAGCCACCGACCCGGGACTTGCGGGGTGACACCCGGCTTCGCCGGCCGCCACCAGCGAGTGATGCGCGGGCCGCTGTGGGGCCGAAGATCAGGCGCCACGGGCTCCACGGCGCGAGAGGCTGTGGCCAGGTGGCCACGGCAATGGGTGGCAGTCGTGGCGTGGGGATGCGGGCACGTTTCCCACCCGCGATCTCTCCAGGCAGCCTAAGGATGCAAAGGTGTGGCCTAAACCCCTAGCTTTCCGCCTGTGGCATTGAAGGGCTCCTCCCAGGCTGCACCTAAAGCTTCCCGAACTTTCTCCGTGGTCAGTCTCTGCCTCCCCTCTCCTTTATTGTGTCTAAAGAGGACCCCGTGCCCAGCCCCACTGTGTGTTTCACCACCCACCCACTCCGTGTCGAGGGCGCCAGCCGGGTGTCGGAGCCCGCTGGGGACTGCGTGGCCAGTGGACTCCAGGTTTGCTGCTCGTGGGCAGGCGGCACGAAGTCCAAGGTCAAGGAGGAGGCAGGAGGGCCGGTGGCAAACGTCAGTGAGGTCCTAGGACCTCTCCGACCTCTCCGGGTGGGAAATCCGCTCTGGGGATATCAGGGCCACACCCCAGCGGTGGGAACCAGCCTGTGGCCCCGGCGCTGGGTGCAGAGGGCTGAAGTGACTGGGGCGTAGAGACGCGTAGAGCTGACCGAGGTTCCAAGGCTCGAGCCCAGGGCTGGAGGGGTGGAGATCTGCTGGAAGAAAGAAAAATACCTTCCTCACAAACTCAAGGCAGGAAAGTCCTGGCAGGAAAATGGCTTTTCACTTCTGGAAGCGCGAGTCTCCTTTGCTACTGTGAACAAACCTTGAGGTTCCAAACAGCTGCAAATAATCAAGTAGGCACTAATTTTGGGGGAAAGAAAAGGTGGAAGGTGGGGACACAGCAGATTCTTTTTCGTTTCTTCCTTTAGCGCTTCTGCCCTTTCCTCAGAAATCTGCCCTTCCTTAAGAAACCAAGGGCTACTTGTGGGTGTGCAGCCCTGTGTCTGGGGAGGGTCGCCCTCCCCTTGCTCAATTTTCTTGGTCCCTTGGGAGAGTCAGTTCAGGCTGCCCAGTTTGGCTTTTCGATGCAACAGGAAATTTAGTTGCACATGCAATTAACCATTTTGCAGGAGAGATTTTTTTTTTAAAAATAAGAATTCCAGTGGGTTGGGAGGGATGTGTTCAGGTGTGCGGGGATCAGTGCCTGGAATTCCTTCTCCCGTAAACCCTGTGATTTCTGCGTTGGAGGCTCGCAGGCATGACTGACCCGGAGGGCTGTCTGGAGGAGTCCGATCTCTATTAACTCTTCTTGGGCTTGACCAGAGCGAAGGTTAACTCCACTAATCTACCAAAAAGGCCTGTCATAAAAAGGAAGACAGAAAAGAAGGGGGGAAAGGAGTAAAGGAAAGAATGGAGGAAGGAGGAGAGGGAGGAAGGATCAATGCATTCTAATTGCAGGGGTAGCAGACTCAGCTCTGTGCCCTCGTCTGGTTCCCCACCTCCACCCTCCTTGTGCAAGCTGGGTTTGCATTCAGAGAGACAGGAGCGCCATCCATCAATGCAGCACACGCCATGAGGATGGACTTTACAGAACAAGGAAATAGTGTCAGAAAATATTCTCTTGTGTTTAACTGACCAGTTCACTTTAAAAATGTTTCTAACAGGTATACAACTGATTATTCTGTGAGGGATTAAAAGAACAAAAATCAACCGAACCCACACCCAATGCATAGTTTGCTTTTCATTTAGGTAAAAGCAGTTTTAGAATCTTGTCAGTAGCCAAATTATAGCCATAAAACCTGGATGAAATTAGAAGATACATTCTGCTGGCTTCAAAGTTGGTGTCATTTGAATGGGTCATGCCAGGATGGTCATATGCAGGATGGTGTGCACACATGGGTGTGCAAATATTCTTATGGTATTAGAAGTTCCTGGGTGGATTAAAGGTTCATATACTTTATGAAGCACCATACAGAAGCTGTCACTCACGTGTACATTCCGGGGGCTGGCCAGACAGTGCAAAAAGGAGTTTTGAATGAGCTCCTTGGAATCGCTATTGTTAAAATACAAGCTGAAGCAACTTAGTAATGGTAAAGCTATTGTGGCTTGCAAAATCATAAAAGACACTTCAAAGTAGAAACATCAGGTTTTCAGTTTGGTAGCTTTGCCAGAGCATTGAAACAAAAGGTGACCATCATTTGCATAATCTGTTTATTTAAAAATCCAGTGATATGCCATTCTACTCCCCCCCCCCCCACTTTTCAATGGATTGGAGAATTAAAGGAGGATGACTAGGGGTGAGGGCATAAGGCAGCTCTCTCTGCCCATTTAAACAAGTCTGATGTGGGTGATATAGCTTTTAATATTAATATTAGACTCCGAGGCAGCTCTTGCTGAGAAAGTTCTAAAGACATCAAAAGCCATGTGGACACCAGTAGTTATTTAGAACTGGACAAAGTAAGAGATGATGATCTAATTCTGTAATTTTTCTCTTTTTCAAGAGCCTCATAATGAAATGTATAAGATGACAGTTAATTTTTGGTATGTTAAAGAAAAGCATTAATCAAGTGAAATCAGGTGCCAGTCACTTAAATGTGAAGGTGTTAGGCAAATATCCAGAGAAATTAATATCGTTAATTAGCCACATCAGTGTCCTTCAAAAAAGTACAAGCTGAACAACACATAATTTAATTTTAATTTTTTTGAACCATAAACAAGGTGAATTTTAGAAGGAGTAATATAATTTAAGGAGTATTTTTTGTTTTATTGGTTTTAGGGACTTTTTGAAGATTAAAAAAAAAACAGATTCAATATAAAGCATTCTATTTGACAATAAGTAGATGGCCAAAGATAGCCATAATAGAGAAATATTATGTATGAATTTAGAAAACATTTCATTAATTACGTATCGACTTCATTTCTGTCCTTTAAAAGCCTCTTTCTTAAAATGTTGCAAGTGCATTTTAAAAATAAAGAAATTGTGTGCAAAATGAATACGAAGCTCCTTAATAGTATATTTAGTTTCTTGGCCATAGGAAGTAGTCATTGAGAGTTTAGTCAATTGTTTGAAGAAAATTTATGTTGGTATTTTTGAGTACAGGGTAAATCTATCCATTATAATTTATCATAAATAAATCAAGCTTATCCAAGAGATTTCCACTTACTTGTCTATGGTAAATTGATGGAGATAATGTCACTTTAAATAGCTAAAGCAAAACTGAACACATTAAAGGAAGGGCATATTAACTCCAGTGACAAATGTCACATTGGGTGTTTCATGATGGGGCCACAATGCATCACATGTCAAGAAGTTTCAAAATTAGAGAACACTGTTTCTCTGCTGAATGCCTGTTAATAACTTCTTCCAAAAGTTATGGTACGATTTTCCTTTTTGCTTTGTTGCTACATTACTCACTAATTAAAAAGAAGCTGGTATTGTGAAATTTTAGCAGCAAAGGATTTTAAAAGTTATTTTTCTTCCTAGTGACTTCTGAGAGGAAAAAGAACTATGCTTATTTACTTACTGATTTTTTTCCTGTGATTTTGGTTAATTCAGTAGCTTTTAAAATCATGTGCTACATCACAAAAATCTACATTGCATGCAAACTGAAAACAAATTCAAAGGCATCAGAATTTTTTTTCAAGAACTACAATTCAATGTGCAGTTACTGAACAGCTACTATTTCAAACCCCAGGTTCTATTAAAAGCAAACATCTCAAACTTTTCTTGTTTCCTAACAAGTTTTAAAATTGCAGCTGGTATGAATGTGGGTGAATATTTTATGTAAAAGCCTTTAACTCTCTTTTCCTATTTACCCTGGATATGAGTAAAAACTTTCCTTTATGCTTATATCCTTTAAAATTACACTAATCAGTGTATAAGAATTATCCACCTCCCTTTAAAAACCAGTGACTAAAAATTCTAATTATAGAAAAGAGATGTGATATTCATTCTACAGTTTCAGTAACGAAGTTTTCTTCACAAACTAGAAGACATTCTATCCTGGGTAAATAAAAATACGGCAGCTTTTGGGTGTAGTTTATTTATTTTTTTTAATTCATGTCCTTCTGCCCTTATGTCATTGGGATTAATGTATTTGGGTTTTTATCTTCACTGTTGTTAATAGAATAATTTTGTTATATATAAATATATGTGAATATATCTATATTTCAAATTTTCTTATTCTAACTGAATACGTTATTGAATTGAAAATAATGTTCAGTTTTTATCCATATTAACATGTTCAGGTAATAATGAGGTCATGTTCTGTAGGTGTACTGTCCCCTAACAATCAAAAATATCATCACACAGTTTAACTAAAGTGAAAAAGCCACTTAGGATTTTGGAAATCCAATATCTAGAAAATACAGGTACATTATTTTTCACATTGAAATTTTTAACCAGGTTTTATTGCATCTTAACTGTCTCCTTAGATAGAAAACTTCTGTTTTAGAGATAATTTTTGAACTTTAAATCAAATGTAACTAACCTCATTGTAGGCTTTTTGAAATGAAAAGAGATTTGAAATAAGCCTCCAGGATAGAAGACAAACACAAGGGGTAGGGAATGGTGGCTTGCCTGAGTTTTTCCGGGACCCTATGGGAGTCTTTTAAAGCTTACAGTATCATGCCTTTTGTCAAAGCGTACAAAATAAGGTGATAATGGGGTAGAGAAAAAGAAAGACAATCCCCTCACTCTTTCCCGTTATAGTCCACCAAACAAGACAAAATAAAACAAAATCCAATTCCTAAATGGCCCGAAAGACCCTTACCACTTTGGGGAGTTTCTGTGTAACTGTGGGTCCTGCCAAATGTCAGATGGTCAACTTTTTCGACTCTGCAGTTAGACTGCAGTCAGTAGCCTGAAGAGGAGGCCGACTATTGGAGCTTGGCTCCAGGGATCCACCACTGGGAGGGAGCTTGGGCAGCAACTGTTGAAAGTTAACCTCTCCTTTCCAAAGGAGAGCTGCAGAGGCTGGACAGTGCGCGCTGATATAACCAATTTTATTCTTTTCTAAGGCATTTCTAACTTTTATGATTTCCCCCTCCTTCTCCTACTGTCTCCTTTGTGCCTCCAGGGCCAGTGAAAGAGCAGGGCAGATTCTAGATTGCTTTCAGAGTTTGCCTTCTCTGATGATGGATTACCATGTCAATTTAAACGGCATAGGATTAATTTGTTTCAATGATTTCTCTTTAGGCTGAATGCCAGCCGTTTTTCTATCTCTCCCCTTGCTCTTCACAACAACAACAACCAAAGAAGAAAAGGAAAAAAAAAAAAAAAAAAAAAGGAAAGAAAGAAAAAAAAGGAAGAAAAAAAGGCCTTCATTCCAAATTCTAAGTTGGGAGACAATAATGGAAATAGACAAGTCAGGTATAAGGTTGCAACACTGTTACAGGTTTGAGTGTTTTTATCTCTGCTAAGAGGCTGAAACATACAGTCAGTCACATTAAAATGAAATTGGACTCAACATTTATTCAATAAATACTTGTCTTGTAGATAATCCAGTGCCGAGTGCTTTTGACACATAAGGACTTAATTTGTGGTGGATAACAAGTTATTAATATGGCACATTTAAACCTGCCACCTACAATAAGGTTATTGAAATCTACAGAAACTCAAATAATCATTGTGCAAAGTAGTTTATGTAAGGGGAGGCATTTTTGAGGATGGGATCTTTTTTCATACATCTACATACATGCTAGTAACAGACACGTGAAGGCCTGGGTGAACACACACGTATGTACACAGCTCATGTGTACATGTGTCTTCAGACCTCATATGAAAAAAAATCAGGAAAGTTTAAAACATTCCATCTTTATGCCGATGTATTTATCTTTCCAAAATAAGAATGTGCTGATAGCTTTTCCTTTCGAAAGATTTCTAATGTGCACAAGAAAGATGCTTTTCAAAGTCACTTTCTTTGCAATCCCAGACCCCTTTATAACACTGAACATGGCACCAAAGAGCACTCAGGTATAATCCAGATCAAACACATTCTTCACTAGGCTAAACTAGTATCCAGCTAGAGCAAGAATGTTGCTGGTGAAAAAGGCAATTTTAATTAAAATAATTGGTTCTGTAACATATTATTTTCTTCCGTTTTCTAAAGAGAGGTCCACCAGAAAGGCAAGAGCTTTCATACTCTGGAGCGAACCATGTTGAACTAACATATCACAGGCTTCTCTTCACTACCCTATTTTCCTAATTGCTTCTGCTTTCTCTAGTATCCTTGCACTAAAATTTA